ACTATGGTGAAGGGAACAAACCATGTGCAATGGCTCCTCTTCATCAGCCCTCTCCTAAGGTGATTTTTTTTTTTTTTTCTGTACTGGAGTTTGAACTCAATACCTCACTGCTTGCTAAGCAGGCGCTCTACCACTTGAGCCACTCCGCCAGCTCCCCCGCCCCCACACCGCCAAGGTTTTCCTGTGTCCATGACAGCGCAGCTCTCCTCTCCCTCAGGACTTTCTCCTCAACTTTCGTCTAGCTGGAGTTCCTTAAAAAACGTGCCAGACTTTGAGTATTAAAATCAGTCAGATCTGTGCGTATTGGCTTTTGCCTGGGGCACAGCCCACCCCTGGGCAGTGAGCAGAATGGATGACCAGGGGTGGGCAAAGGAAGAAGGAGGAGATCATTAAATATCCCACATCTTTGGGATGGGGCCAAGACACATTTCTCCACATACCCCAAGTATGAAAAAGATCAACTTAGTCCCATTTTCCCAGCCCAGAGCAGGGGCTGGTAGACAAGGCTGGATCTTCCCGGCTCCACTTGGCCCTCCTGCTTTTTGGGCTTTCCACGCGCTGCGGGCTCTGTTTCCCTTTCATCAGGAAGGTCAGGGAAGGGTCCCTTAGCCAAGGTCATCCTGGCGCCCGGCTGGGCTCTCTGTCCTGGAGCGCCCTCTGCCGGGAGGCCGGCACTACACGCAGAGGCCGACAGTTACCTGACCACCTGCTTCTTCAAGTTATGCCTATTGACACCAGTAAGGCTAAAATGCTACTCTCGTCTCTCCAATTCGGTGCTAGTCCTGAGTTCTGTTTTCATTGGAAATGGCAACAACTTGTAAGATAGATGGCCTTTGAGGTGTTTAGCCAGCCAAAGGGGACTGTGGTTTTTAAAAAATCATTTAAGCAATTGTCTTATCACAGTGGAAAGCAATTTGTTTGGTATTAGGCCAATTCTAAAAAGAAACACAGATCCGCTTTTTCATTCAAAGTAAAAATGAGGCCAGGTGCTCACGCCTGTAATCCTAGCTACTCAGAAGGCAGAGATCAGGAGCATCGCGGTACAAAGCCCGCCTGGGCAAACAGTTCAAAAGACCCAATCTCGAAAAAATCCATTATACACACACACACACACACACAAATAGGGCTGGTGGAGTGGCTCAAGGTGTAGGCTTGAGTTCCAACTCCAGTACTGCAAAAAAAAAAAAAGTAAAAATTATTTTGTTGAATCCCATTGTCAGTTTATACATATGTATGTATTCATTAGCTATTGTCTATGTACAAATTCTTACAGCTTAAATTATCCCCTCTGTGGACTAGAAGAATGTCAAATAAGAAATGAAATCTGGAGGGTTTTTTTCCCCATTAAGATATTAATAAAGGACTGGAGGGGTGGCTCAGGGGATAGAGCACCTGCTTTGCAAACACAAAGTCCTGAGTTCAAACCCCAGTCCTACCAAACAACAACAACAAAAAGATATTAATAAAAATGCATGTTTCTGCTGGGTGCTGGTAGCTCAAGCCTATAATCCTAGCTATTTAGGAGGCTGATATTGGGAGGATAAAGGTTTGAGGCCAGCCTGGACAATTAGTTTGCAAGAACCCATCTCAAAAACAACCAAACCAAAATGTACTAGAGGTGTGGCTCAAGCTTTGCAAGTGTGAAGACCTGAGTTCAAACCCTAGTCCCACCAAAAAAAAAATTATATTTCTTTATATGGTGGCAACCATATTTCTTTATATGGTAGCTTTCAAATTTTTGTTACAAGCCTTAATAGACTATACAATACACTTTATCATATATTCCATACAGCAAATTGATTCCTACAGAATGTTCTCACTGCTTTTTGCAGAACTCTAGTGTTTTTAGTCATTCTATGGCAATTGATGAATGAGTGCAACACGCTGTGAACATTGGTTGATATTTTTGTTTATCAAGAAAGGTGAAATAGGCTGGGCGTGATGGTACATGCCTGTAATCCCAGCTGTGTGAAAAGCAGAGATGAGGGGATTGTGGTTTGAGACCCTATCTCAAAAAAAAACAAAACCCCAAAGTCAATTGTGGTGGTGGTATATGCCTATAATTCCAGGAAAAGGCAGAGGTAGGAGGATCATGGTCAGAGGTTGGCCTGGGGAGAAAGCACAGATCCTATCTGAAAAATACACCGAAAGGGGGGTGGAGGTGGTGGCTCCAAGTGGTACTGCAGGAAAAAAAAGCAAAGATGAAATAACCAAGAAATTGCACCCAGTCCCTGTCATGAAGCAATGTCTTGCTGACTAGGATAACAGTCTTGAAACATTGAAAAAATATTTCCTCAAATTTTTATACTATTTACAATTCAACAGCAACAGACACAACACCCTCGTAAGCTTGATCCGAATTATTAGCATATGAGGAATACAGAGACCACTTTCTTTTTTTTTTTTTTTTGGCAGCACTGGGGTTTGAACTCAGGACCCTATTTTTGCTAGGCAGGCACTCTACTACTTGAGCCACTCCATCAACTGTTTCAGAGACCACTTTCGTAAAGCTAGACAACCTGCAAGTGATAAATTAAGCCAACAATAACAAATCATTTACTTATTTCTCTAGTGTAAACATTTAAGCTACCGACACGATGTCAGAGAACACGGAGTTTGTACTGCACACACTAAATAGCATTTCCCCAGTAACACTGCACACTAGCCATGTAGAACAGACAAGAAAATGCAGTAAAATAATTAGGAAGTGTTACGTTTTGACCATTTATTTCCTTTTTGTATACTAAATTGTAAGCATTTACAATTCAATTTTTTTTTTTTTTTGGCAGCACTGGGTTTTGAACTTAGCGCTTTGAGCTTGCTAGGCAGGCTGAGCCACACCCCGGTCCTACAATTTACATTTTAATAAAAGTTGTGTTTAAGAAGTGTTTCACAAAATCCTTGAAAATGTTAACAGCTGGCACTCACAAGCCGGTGGGAGCCAACTCCAGCATCTTATGGATGGAAGACACTGGCAGGACATGGAGGGCAGGAAGACAGAGGTGTTGGGTCTTCCTTCTCCTACTCCTTCCTCATCCAGGGGCTCTCTTCCAGAGCTCCAGCCTCCCCCAAACTCAGCTAAAGTGCTTCTGGCTCTTATCCATCCCACCAAGCCCTTTGTAAATGGCCCTCTCTTCTACCCCATCAATCATTCCCCTCCCTATCAGTGTGCAGCCCCTGTCTGCTCAAGTGGGCTCCCATGGTCGCCACCTTTTCTATTCCCAAATTTAGGAACTGTGTGTCCTTAGGCAAATTACTCCTCTGAACCTCAGTTTTGTGTGGACTAAGTATGATACAGCAGGATATTATTTTGAAACATTAACCAGTAGTACTTTTTTTTTCTCTTGCTATTTCCTGGTGCTCTCTTTCCCTACCCGGGCAGCTGTACCTTTTAGCAGGATTTAGAGCAGAAGTGAGGGGAAGGTTTTGAGTTTCAAAATCCAAGACCCTGATAGGAATGGCACAAAGAAATTTTAATGAGTCACAGCAAAGCCTCCTTCTTGAAGACCCACGGATACCTGACAGGCTCTCCTGTCTGCACAGCTGTCCCCTGCCCAGCCAGGAAAGGTGGCACAGACCCCCCGGTAATCTTGGGGAACCACAGTCCTGAGAACTAACAGCTATGGTTGAGCTCAAAAGGCTGCGGGAGCTGCTCCACAATGCCCTGATCTCCCAGTGTGGTCCAGGAGAGATGCTCAGAGTTTGGCCACCAGGTCTGGTGATGATGCTGCAGCAGTGTCATTGCTGCATTTGACAAGCAAGGGCCAGGTGTCCATGTGTACCTGAAGGGAGAAGCACAGACAATCACAGGGGTGGAGTTCCCTAACTGAAATGCCTTGATGCTGAATAAATTCTTCCACCTCCCACTTAGCCATAGCAGAAAGGGAGAGGGAAGTCTGACATGAAAGACAGAACTTCCTACCACGTGCAAATGGGACCTCTCAAATGGGGTCTCCAGAAAAAATAAAGGCACTTTCTGCCAGTATTGGTGGTCAAAGATTCGTGCCTGTCACAAGGAGAGCCCCAGAGGGCTTTTCTCAAGAGACCTTTGTAACTTAAGTAACTGTCATGAAAACTAATGAAATGCAAGTATGCAAAATAAAGAGCTGTAGTTTCTATGACAATTAAATTGAGTGCTTTCTTAAGAGCACATTGTCGAAAGAAGAAAAAAAAAAACCCGGCTGTCAAATTAGGTGTGTGTGTGTAGGACAGTTGTAAAAGTCTGGGGAGGTGTTAGGCATCTAGAATGTTCTGCACTCAGAGCACGTCAAGGTCTCTGTGAGTTCTTACTCCGTTGTAATGAAACTAATATGGCAAAGTGTGATGTCCCATGAGAGCAATTTGTATGAGATGGAAAGAAAATGGAAATTTCACACGCTGTATGGAAAGAAAAGTGTTACCTGTACACGAAAATATTGGCAAGTGGAGATTTATTTGTTTTAAGCCAAAAGAGACTGTAGCACACACACGTGTATGTGTATATGCATATATGTGTGTATATATACAATATGCATATATAAATTTTGGGTGCTGGGGATTGAGTCCAGGCCCTTGCGCATGCTCGGTAAGCGCTCTACCACGGAGTTACATCTCCAGCCCTTTTAAAAAAAAAAAAAGAAAAAAGGAAAATTCCCAGTCTCCAGACTCACGGATAAGAAGTCTCCCATAAGGAACGAGCTTCCCAGCGTGCCTTACTTAGTGGTAGCTTCTTTTTCATATGAACTGCAAGACTTTTGGGTGCCATAGGTGCTCGAAAGGGGCAGCAATAGGAGTCCTTTCTTCGAGCCTCGCCCAGCCAGCAAGCCACAGCCTGTTATAATCCGACAGCCCTCACGCATTACCCTTGGCCTGGGGCTGGGCAGCCGCGCAGCACCGCGGTCAGAGCGGCAGGGGGCGCTGTCCGGTCGCAGTGGCCGCTCGGGCCGTGCTCTGATTGGCTGGAGGCCGTGGCCCGCGCCCACTTCTGCCCGCCGGGTGGGCCAAGTGCCGCCGCGCAGCAGCGCCCGCCCCAGTCTGCGGGCTCCGAGGCAGCGGCGGGGCTGGCGAAGCGCGGCGCAGGGGACAAGATCAGGGCAGGAGGGAACCGGTCAGCCGGGAGAGCCCCCCGCACACCTAGCAAGATGCTGTCCTGGCGGCTGCAGACGAGGGCCGAGAAGGCCGAGCTGCAGGAGCTCAACGCCCGGCTCTACGACTACGTGTGCCGGGTGAGGGAGCTGGAGCGCGAGAACCTGCTCCTGGAAGAGGAGCTGCGCGGCCGGCGCGGGCAGCAGGGCCTGTTGGCCGAGGAGCAGGCCCGCTTCGCCCAGGAGGCTCGCATCCTGCGGCAGCAGCTGGACGAACTGAGTTGGGCCACGGCGGTGGCCGAGGGCGAACGCGACGCGCTGTGGCGCGAACTGCTGGAGCTGCAGCGGCTGGACGCGGAGGCGAGCACCGCCCGCGGCCGCCTGGATGCGGAGCTGGGCGCCCAGCGGCGGGAGCTGCAGGAGGCGCTGGGTGAGCGAGCCGCCCTCGAGGCGCTGCTGGGCCGGCTGCAGGCTGAGCGCCGCGGCCTCGACGCGGCCCACGAGCGCGATGTGCGGGAGCTGCGCGCGCGCGCCGCCAGCCTGACCATGCACTACCGAGCCCGCGCCGGCGGCCCCGCCGCGCCCCCGCCGCGCCTGCGGGAGGTGCACGACAGCTACGCGCTGCTGGTGGCCGAGTCGTGGCGGGAGACCGTGCAGCTGTACGAGGACGAGGTGCGCGAGCTGGAGGAGTCGCTGCGGCGCGGCCAGGAGAGCCGGCGCGAGGCCGAGGAGGAGGCGCGGCTGTGCGCGCAGGAGGCGGACGGGCTGCGGCGCGAGGCCATCGAGCTGGAGCAGCTGCGCGCGCGGCTGGAGGACGAGCTGCTGCGGATGCGCGAGGAGTACGGGCTGCAGGTGGAGGAGCGACAGGTCCGTGCCTGGGATCGGAGTCCCCGCCCTACAGCCCCCGCCGGCACTGTGCGCACGATCGGGGTGGGGAGCGGCGGGGTTCCCGGGACTCGTAGCCGGTGCACTCGAGGTGCCCGAAGGATCTAGGGACCAGAGCTTTACAGCGTTCTTCCTAGGTGATCGTAGGGTTCCGCATCCCCCCGCCCCCGTTCTGGAAGAAGGGCACGATCCAGTGGTTCTCCAACTCAGCGAGCTAGTGCCATGCGACAGTCCCTCACCATCGTGTTAGGTTGTCAACTTTAAATCTTGGCGTGTGGGGGCACATCCTGACAAATGACCCTGTTAGCTCTAGGTTTTTCTTTCAGTTTCTTGTGCGTCATCAACCTAGTAGACTCAGACCCCAAAGTAACCAAGAAACTTCTCTGACTTACATAAGTGACCTCGCATTCCTACTCCGATAGATCAGAGTGTTGGCAATGGCAATGACACCTCCTTAACCTGGATGGTGCCCAATCTCAAATGGGTGTCCAAAACGATTTCTGATTTTTATTTATTTGCAGAAATGGAGATTGAGCTCCAGGCTTCGTGCTTGCTAGGCAAGCGCTCGGTTTTTTATTTTACCAGAAGGATTTTCCCAGCTGGAGGCAGCTGGTTGTGGTTCCCTGGGCGGCTGCTTGGTTTTTATGTTTTGATTTTTGGGAGGGACAGCAACCAGATCAGAGCTGTTTTGCTCACAGTAGAACTGACGTCAGATCTCTGTGTAGTGTAAAAACTGTGGGAAAACAGGTCTCTGTGGCAGGATGTTATTACAAGTGCACACTAATATAAACGGTTACTATTTCAGAGAAGCTGAACCCTAACCTTCTGACATCTCATGGTGACACCTGTGGTTGATTTATTGTCTGGACACCCAGTCCAGTTCCAGTGCTTGGCCACAGCCCTGCCCAGTCTCAGCCAGACTGGAAGAGTTCCCAAATCTTACTATCAATAGTTCTTAGGAAGACCTTTGGAAAACAACAGGATCACAATTTTAGAAAGATTTGAGAAGAACAGTTTGCAACTGTGAGCAAAAGTTTTGAGATTTAGTGATTTTTCTGCTTTTCAAAAATATTTTTTATTTTTTGCAGTACTGGGGTTTGAATTCAGGGCCTTATGCTTGCTAGGCAGGCACTCTACCACTTGAGCCACTCTGCCAGCCCTTCTTGAGGTGTTGGGTATTTTTGAGATAGGGTCTCTTGAACTGTTGGCCTGGGGCTGGCTTTGAACAGAGATCCTCCTGATCTCTACCTCCTGAGTAGCTAGGATTACAGGTGTGAGCCACTGGCACCTGGCTGATTTTCTACTTTTGAAATATTAGAAGTGAGGAGAACATGGGAGTTGTGGTATGGAATAATAGGGACGATGTGACAGGTGTCCACCAATAATCAGCATATCTCTACTGATTACTTGCGAGTCCCCAGCACTGCACTAGGGTTGCAGTAGTCAAAGAACTGGAGATTGAATGAGAAATCACAAAAAGTAACATGAGGCCAAACTGTTGGGCGTGTCATCTTTTGGGTTGTGGGATTTGTGTGCCTTTGTCTCATAACTCACTTGGCTCATTTCAGACTTTGAAGCTCTGATGTCAGTGTTCTTTTTAATAGCAGAACCTCTTCCCCCTAATGAAATCTTCAGTGGACCACCAACTCCCAGACAGAAGAAGGCAGAGTTTCTCTGATTAGAGGAGAGATGGAGTTTGGGGAGGGCGATTAGAATCATTGTCCAGCCCTTTCTCAATACAGGACCCAGGGGGCCCAGCCCAGGAAGTGCCTCACCTGAGGTCACTTGTGACCTGGAATAGGACCCCACCCTCAGCTTACCATTCAGTGCCATCTGTCTGATTGGAATTTGCTTCTTTCCCCTAAAAGTGAAGAGCCAGGACAATACTGATAAGGGCCTGGATTTCTTTTAGTTCCGATTCGTATAGGTTTTGTTTTACTGAATGCTGCCAGCTACTACCTTGTCCATCTCCTGAATCTTTCTTGTGTTGGCAGCTATATTTCGCATTACTTCTGAAAGATTCATCACCAGTCGTAAAAATGCTCAGAATTATGTTAAAGTACTGTTGATTTAACCCTAAGCCTCTACTTTTTTCAAATTCTATAACAAGACTGAAAATATCCTAAAAACTGGCTTAACTAATTTCCTATAATGAATGTTTTATTACTAACAGTCTTTATCAGGTACTTACAAGCTGGTTACCACAGGTACCAAGCCTGTCACACATATTCACTCAGGCCTCAAAAACTCACACCTGATATTAGACCCATTTTATAGATAATGAGACAGGAAGTAGCTAAAACAAGGTTCTTCCCATGCTCCAGTGCCTGAGCACCTAACCATTGGACCATATTTCCTTTCTTTTCTCTCTTCTTAAACATTTTAACAGAGCCAGGCACCAAAGACTTATGCCAATAATAGTAGCTACTTAGGCGGATGAGATTGTGAGGATCTTGATTTGAGTCCAACCTAGGCAAATAGTGTGAGACCCCCATCTCCAAAGTAATGAAAGCAAAAAGGGCTGGAATCATGGCTCAAGTGGTAGAGTGCCTGCTTTGCAAGCCTGAAGTCCTGAGTTCAAACTCCAGTCCCATCAAAACCAACCAATAAGCAAAAAGAACCTTTAACAGCAATACTCTCTTTGCATTCGTAGAGGAATGGCAACTGTTCTTCCTAACTGGTTCCTTGTTCTCTTAAATCTTAAAGTGCTTTCAAACCCTTCAAGCTGGCTATTGTCAGAATAGTTTTAGGATAGTCTCTTTTTTTGCTGTTTTTCTGTGTTTTCCATGGTTTCATGGGACCTCCATACACACCTGGTGGCAGGACCAGGTGTTGGATGCAGAGGAGGTGACACTACACCATGCCCTCTTTCTCCTGGCCTCTGGGTTCCATTCTGTAGCTCAAGGGGAAAGGCATTTCCTGGGAAAGTGGTCCTTCCAGGTGACCTGTGCACCTTCTCTGTGGGAAGTGTTTTTTGCTGGTCTGCCCCTTGCCTCAGATTTGTCAGAGGACAGTTTGCTGAACAGACGTGCAAGTCCCCAGCATACTGAGAAGCATGAAGGGGCTTCACAAGGAACGGTGGCAACATTTGTCATTTATAGCAGCCTGACCCTAGAAACACTGAAATTTTTCCTGTGGAAGTGAGCTCTTAGCCACCTAGGTTGACTGTGAAAGACTTTCAAACTCCCAAAACATGATTGCATGAAAACTTTCTTTTGATTGGAAGGGAGATGGGTTAGCTGTGTGGCTAATGGTCAGAGCTCCTGTCACTTTCCTGCTCGGGCCTGAATTCCGGCTTTGTCACTCTTTGGGCAGATTACGTTCCTTATAACTATTCTGTGACTCAGTTTCCCCATTCGTGAAATGAAGATAATGAAAGTCGCTTACAGGGTACATACAGTCGGTGCATTCATTCACTAATAGCTATTGAGTTCAGAGTGTGCCTAGAGTGTCCTCATGACTGGGGACACTGAAGTGAAAAACACAAAATGAAACAGAGAAATTCCCACCCCTCAAAGGTCTTGATGTCATGGCAATCAGGGGACAGAGAACAAGGGAGAGAGTGGTTATTGTAGAACTTGGTGTTTTTTCTGTGAGTGCCACTGGAGGATGGTAGCAGAGGAGACTGACTTAATGGAATCACTCTCACTGAAGTGTTAAAATTAGGCTGTGTTGGTTAAGGCTGGATTAGGAGACTTGGAATAATCAAAGCAGGAGGCACTGGGAGCTTGGTCGGGCAGGAATAAAGGACTGAGAAGGGGACCTTCTTTCAAGTTGGAGCAGACAGGGTTTGCTGATAGTAGAGAGAGAGAGGGAGAAATCAAAGTTGATCCCAGGGCTGTGACCTGAGTAACTGGAAGAAGCAGTTGCTCTTTGCTGATGGGAGTTAGTGCAGAAGGGCAGATTTGGATCAGAGATCTGAGCTGTCCAGTCTGAGATGGCTCTGAAGTTCCCTTCGGGGATATGAGGGAGGAGTCTGGAGTTTGGGGGTGCCTGTGGGCACTTAGGAAGCATCTGATTCATGCTTCTTATCCCAAATACATTGAGGGCTTGTGGCTGAGGGAGATGATCACGTGCTCAAGTCCCCCTGAGCGGTATTGTTCAAGATCGTGACTAGAACATTTGTGGCTCAAGTTTGGAGATGAGGAAGTTAATTCTTTTGCAGCTTTCTCCAGAAAAGATCCAGATTTCACCATGAATCGTGGTGTCACCCAAAGTTCTCTCCACAGTGGCTGGAAAGACCGAGCTCTCTCCAGTGTTTCTACAGCATTAGGGAAACTCCTCCTGCTTGGGTTGGGCCTGGCCCACAGCTAAGAAACTCTGGCAAAGCAGAGCATAAGTCTGAAGCTTCCTTCCACCAGCAGGATTGGTTATGATTTGTGGGGATTCTGTAGGGAGCCAGTAAGGCTTATGTTCCTCTGTTTCCATTTCCGAAATTCACCAAGTTTTCCTCTGCCGGTATGGGAAGAGTTGACTCACGTGGAAATGTGGCTGGAACTGTGCTTATTTCAACTCAAGCACAGCTCTGTGTTCCTCTTCAAATCTCGTGAGGAGCAGGACTATTCTGTGTCCTTGGGGAGGAGAAAACCCCCCGTGTACAACCCTGGACCATAGCTGGGAAATCTTGACCTGCTCAGGAGGGTTGTGGGTAGAGAACCAAGTTCATAAATGACAAATTCTCAAGTTTTAATGCTCAGGCATTAAATTTGGAAAGGAAAGTATATATTGGAATATATATATTGGAAAGGAAATACACACACACACACATACACTACAGCACATTTTATATTCCAACCTTGTACCTGAATTTGTAGTCCCTCTAAGACAGGGAGACATAAATTGTGTGTGTGTGTGTGTGTGTGTGTGTGTGTGTGTGTGTGTGTTTAAGATCTCATTTATTTATTTATGGGGTACTAGGGTTTGAACTCAAGGTTTTGTGCTTGCTAGGCAGGTACTCCTACCTCCAGCCCCAAACAAGATTTGAACACTGAGGCTGACTCTGACATCACTGTCACTTAATTCAAGACCAGCAAGGGACCTGCTTTGGTGAACTACTTTATTAAGCCAGCTTTGGGTCTGTTAACATAAAGCCACCTTGCAACACTGGGCAGTCGTTCTTAAATTTACTCCTTTGCTTTAAAAGCTAAAGGAAGTGTTGTTTTTATTTGTCTATTTTAAAGCATCCTTTGTATACAAAGAGGAACTGACGTACTCATAGGCTTAGAAGTGGAACCACCATAGAATACAGAACTGTTCACATGCTGGTCGTGCATTTTAAGAATGATAAACCCAGCGTGAGATCCTAGCTGAGTTCCTTCTTTGGTTTCACAGGTGTTACATATTTATTGTGGACCCTCAGTGTTGTGCCATGTCCCTTTGCTGGCAGGACTCCAAAAGAAATGAAAATACATTCCTTTTCCCAGTAGTCTTAGAGTTTTTGAATTCTCCAAGTGTTTATAAGTGTGATTTAGTTTAGTTGATTGTGCTCAGAAGTAATGCTACTTCCCTTCACAAAAGTTACAAATATATGGGCTTATTTCAGTATTTAAATATTTTCTTAGTTCATTATTCCCCAGAGTGACTAGCTAACAACTAGGAAGAAAACACAAAGCTGTAAACTCTACAAATGTGCAGTCATGTTTTTGATTAAAAGATATTGTTGACTTAAACTCGTACATGTGGGGGAGGATAATATCATTTTGATCATTTTATCTTCAATCAGCTCACCGAGTGTGTACTGGGTGACTGGTCCATGGGGGTCACTGGTCTGGAGAACACAAGCAGAGGGTGGCGATGTCTCCTAATCATCCACCATTTAGCCAAGTGGGAGAGTGCTTATTTTAACTAAGGTATGCAAGTGCAGTCCAAAAAGGGAGATTTATATCTGGGTCTGAATTTATTCATTTGTACCCAGAATGTTTCTTTTCCCAGCTGGCTTTAAAGTAACTTTTCTAGACCAGGCATGGTAACTCACGCCTGTATTCCCAGCTACTCAGGAGGCAGAGATTGGGAGGATCATGGTTCATGACCAGCCTAGAAAAAAATGTCAATGAGACACCATCTCAACAAACAAGCCTGTCACCCAGCTAAGAGGAGGAAGAAATAGGAGGATTTTGGTGAGGCAGGCCTGGACAAAAGCATAGCCATCTGAAAAATAACTAAAGCAAATGGCTCAAATGATAGACCACTTACATAGCAAACACAGGCCATGGGTTCCACAAACAAACAAAAAAGTAGAGAAATACTTTTCAAGGTGAAATAAAGAACCCCTTATCAGTTTAATTGCTTAATATTGAAGGAAATCATGACCTTGGGGGAAATTTTTGTTCAAATCTGAGTGTCTTCTGTTTCAAGTAATGTAAATCCTTGATTTCCATTCATGGCTTACTTCAGTAGCCTCTCAGTGGTCTCTGTTTAGACATATTGGCTTTGCTGAGTAGACCAATGACTGAACTGAAGGTAATTTGAATACATTAAGCGTTCCTTATTATCCAAGTCTGAACAGAGAAGCCATTGTTCTACAAAACCCTCCATATACAATAAAAAAAACTCTCATATGGAAGATATTGAACATTTGAAACCATCTTTGCACATGACAGCATGATCAGTAACCTGGGAGGTTTTTCATCTTTTCTCTGCCCTGCACTGTTGGTGTCTTTAGTTCAACCCATGACGTCCCATGTCTCGGAACTAAAAACCCTTTTGTTCTCTCTAGAGAGTGATAGGCTGCCTGGAGGATGAGAAGGAGGCTCTCACCTTGGCCATGGCTGACCGACTGCGAGACTATCAGGAGCTTGTGCAGGTGAAGACTGGCCTTAGCCTGGAGGTGGCGACCTACAGGTAAGGGTGTTTCCCTGAACTTATCTCCATGATGCCAGGGGTGTAAAATCCCTGTGACCTTGCAGTGGCCAGGTAAAGAGTCCAGAGCCAGAGGGAGGAGGACATGGAAGAGCTAGGTTTGCTCAGATCACTGGACAGGATCCCCCGCCAGTGACGATGGCAATAATTGAGTCTTGCACCTTTGCCTAGTGTTTCTATGTCCCTGCATTTGTCAACTCCCTGGAAAGTAGGAGTTAGATGCTGTGTTCACAGATGAACAGATTTAGCTCAGGGAAGTTAGAGAGCTGGAAAGTGGAGGGCCAGTATTTGGAGCCTGAAGGTCTGAGTCTATCTGTGTACTGTGTTGTTGCTTCAAATCCCAGAGCTCTGACTCCCCACCCCCACCCATGGTAGGTTTGTCTTGAAGAATTTCATCTGTGTCATGAGACCAGCATGGAACCCTTGGGCAGCTGTCTTTGTTTATCAGTTCAACATAACCAACCCCAATGGAAAGGTCAAAGTGTGTACAAAAGGGCAGGGAACAGTAGGCATTCGGTCCTCAGCAGGGTCCCTCCTACCACCAGGTGGTCATCATTTTTTGGTTGAGGTGGTACCCTTTCATGCTTAGTGAGGGCTGTGATACAGGGCACCAGACCACAGCATTTTCGGATGGAAGGCCTTGTAGAGTCCCAGTCTCCTCCCTTAAGGTAGGTTTTAAATACAGACCCAGCCTAGGTATCTCTATTGAAGAATGGATAAAGAAAAGTGGTATATATACACACAATGGAGTATTACTCAGCCATAAAGAAGAATGAAGTTACATCATTTACAGGAAAGTGGATGGAACTGGATGTTGTCATGTTAAGGGAAATTAGCCAGACTGAGAAAGACAAATATCTCATGTTCTCTTTCGTAGATGGAATTTAGTCTTTAAAAATGAATAACAAGGATGTAAAGTGGGTTCACTGTGGAGGTGGGTACCATAGGGGATTTTCAAAGACAAAGCAAAACAGCAATAATAAACCCAGGCAGGCTTTATTTGGGGGAAAGAAATCATTAGTCAGGAGTTTTTCAGTTGTGAGTGACAGACTCTTCTCTCAAAAGGAACTTTTACTCCGATGATTGGAAAAGTCTTGCTTCAGGCACAGTTTGTCTGGGTGGCTGGATGAGATTGACAGTGATCAGACGCTGCCAACTCTGGCCTCTTCTTCATCTCTCCCCACCCCGTGGCAGAGTGAGCCCCAGGCAGCTTTAGGCTTACAGCTTTTCAGCCCCATACCCTTGGTTGAAGGAGAAAGTCTCTTCTCAACAATTCCAGCCCAACTCCTGGACCCAGCAATCTGGCTCTGTGCCTGTTGCTGGCTGGGGGATGAAGTGCTTCCCAGGCGGGTAGAGTCGGCCTATGTTAGGTAACACCTGATGTCAGGGGATCTTTTCCATTTCCTTTTCATCAGAGTTCTCTGGATCAGACCAGGAGACTTTCATTTTGTGTTTTGTTTCTTGGAATTTTGTGTCCTTTCCTTCCTCACCTTGTCCTACTCCCAGTTTTCAGTCCCCAGAGGACAAGAGTGCACAGCAGGCAACTTGTCTGGGAGTCTAGGACCTGCATTTTTGGTAGGGTGCTCACAGCCCTCCTTGCTTTTTTAGCTTTTTTCCAAGGACATCAATTGTGAGCCATTTTTGCTCAAGGTCAGCAGTCCGTTAGCAGGAACAGAGTATATTGCTCCTGCCTATTGCTGGCATGTGTCTAGTCTAATTATGGATTGACTTGGCCAGTTAATAGGGACTCAGGAGCCTGGGTGGTTTCAAAGAATGAGTGATGGGTTCCAATGTCCATGTTTGTCCAGGGAAAAGGAGGAGCCTGCCAGGAACCTGGGATGTGCCTGGCCCTGCCCAGTGCAGATGGTCAGCCTTGGTGGTTGGCATTGCCACAGGACTCCTTCCATTAAAGACTTAGGTGGTTGGGGCTGGTGGAGTGGCTGAAGCAGAAAAGTGCCTGCCTGGCAAGCATGAGTCCCTGAGTTCAAATCCCAGTACCCAAAAGAAAAAAGACATAGATGGTTAAATAATAGAACTAATTTCATAGCCAGGTGCTGGTGGCTCACGCCTGTAATCCTAACTACTCAGGAGGCAGCGATCAGGAGTATCAAGGTTCAAAGCCAGCCTAGGCAAATAGTTCATGAGACCCTATCTCAGAAAAATCCTTCACAAAAAGGGCTGGTAGAGTGGCTGGCATAGGTCCTGAGTTCAAATCCCAGTACTGCAAAACAAAAAAAAAAAAAGAAAAGAACTAATTTCTTTATATGAGCCAAAAGCCTACCTTTTCTTTTTTAATCTCTAAGGAGTGTTTTGAAGTAAGCACTGACTATCCCCAATGTGATGCTTTTCCAGTAGTCTGTGGTGTGGCTCAAGTTCGGAAGATTTGTGTAGAGAACTAGTGGCTAAACTAGTGCCCCTTCCATATTATGACCTTGGCTTTTTCACTAACGTACACACTGGGTCTTTGCAAACCTTAACCACTCACCATTTTTGAGAAATTTGACCTTCCTTCCACATTTGCTTTACTGAAGCAGTGAGGCAGTCAGCCCCAGGGGACAGAGGGGCCATGGCAGCCACACTCAGGCTAGAATTTCTCCCCCTTGTGGCTTCGTGCTGATTTGCCCCTGGTTTTCCTGTGGTGACCATTGCCCCCCAAACTGCTTAGTGGACAGTCATTGTCCTGTGGCTCATCTGACTGAACATCTCATATGAAAGCAAAAGGGACTGTGGCTCTTTAAAGCTTATGGTACATTTGCTGTAGATTTTTTGTTTGTTTGTTTATTCGTTTTATTTTTTGGGTGGTACTGAGGTTTGAACTCTGGGGCTCATGCTTGCCAGGCAGGTGCTCTACCACTTGAGCCATATCCAGCCCCTCTTACTTTAGTTATTTTTCAGAAAGGATCTCATGCTTTTTGCTGGGGGCTAGCCTCATATAGTGATTCTTCTCCCTCTGCCTCCCTGGGATAATAGACATGTGCCACCACACCTGTCTTATTCTTTGAGATAGGGCCTTGCTAACTATTTTTGTTCGGGCTAGTCTCACACTATGATCCTCCTATCTCCTCCTCTCAAGTAGCTGGAATTATAGATGTGAGCCACTGCACCTGTCTTTTTTAATTTATCTGTCGACCAAGCCAGCTCTCAAAGATCCTAAGCCCTTTTCAGCCCATATATTGCACCCTTCATAGTGAAGAAGAAACACTATAAGTCAGAATAAAATAATAGAGCTGAATATTTATGATTTTTAAATTTAGACTTGTAATTTATAAATGAATGTGTAATTTTATACAGTAAATGTAAGGTGGTAGAATGAAAACCAAGTACACTTCCAAGAGTCCAAGAATGGAGGTGTTCACTAAACCACCTGTTTGTGGCCAGGAACAATACAGGTGGGTGACCTTGAGAATGAGACTTTCCAGCATTAGAAGACAAGTGGCATCATCATTGCCTCTCCCTCCCACATTGCATGTGGTAGTTAGCAGGAGCCAAGGGGCTGTACTCTGGATAGAGAGGAGACGTGGCCATCCGCAGGCTGGCAGGACCATGCTCACTGCTGCCTCCCTCTTACCAGCATAGTTGTAGGGCTGGAGGTGCTTATCTGCCTGCCCTACAGTCTGGAGGTTTTCCCTGGGGTACAAGTGTTGATTGCACCAGCAGCCAGGTGGTCGGTCAGAGGAGGGATGCTCAGATATTGGATATTGTTGCCATCTTCAGATCATCAACCAGTTGGCATGGCGCTCAGCCTAGGATGTACCTGGGAATCCCCTGGAAAGACATCCATCCATGGGCCCAGCCCCAGAGATTCTGGTTGGATTGGTACAGAGTAGGACGAGGTGTAGTGGTTTTAAACTCCCCTCGAGTGATTGTCAGGAGCCAGAAGCTGGAGAACCTCTGGCCCAGCGTCTCACTGCTCATAGGGCTGTCTGCACTCAGCCAAGGCTACGCATCGAACATTGTAAGCTTGTTGGAAATGCAGAATCTCTGCCTGCCCCTGACTTGCTGAGTCCAAGTGGGCCTGCTAAAGAGGCCCACCTGGTGATTGATGTGCACACTGCTGTTTGCACAGGTGCCCTGGGGCATCTGTGAACACCAAGCCTGTCTCACACCTGCCTAAGGAGCAGACCAAGGATGGTTGATACAGGAGAGGACAGTGTGGCAGTGTTCTATGCGCTCACACTAGACCTTGCACATCCATTTCTTCTGTTTGCAGCATGTGTGGCCATCCCCACAGGGCCACAGTGGACCTGCCTGAGGTCACAGGGTCCTCTGGGGCCACCTGGTAGAGAGAGTTTGGATGGAACATGATGCTCTGAACACCATAGATGAGCAAAACAACTTCCTTGAACCTTTATTTTGAAGATTCATGTCAAAATTTATAGATTGACTAATTATTTCCAACCTTTTGTTATAACAATTTTCCAGCATAAAAAGTTGAAAGAACCGGAAGCTCTCCTGCACCTTGCATCTTGGTTCACCAATGAACGTTTTGCTAAATTTGCTTCATGTAATGACTGTCTACCTGCCCGACCTCTGTGCCATCATCCATGTTATTTTTCAGTGTATCCTAAAGCAGCCTGCCTGGGCCTCTGGTCGATAATGCATAACAATAACTGTAGCTGCCTCCTATGCACTGCCTGCTAGGAACTGAGTCCTTTGTAGTCAGAACCTCCATTTTTTTCCCCTTAAGGTTTTCTGTGGCACTCTACCACCTGAGCCATGCCTGCAGCCCTTTTTTGCTCTGATTATTCTGGACATAGGGGCTCACTGAACTGTGAGTCTGAACTGTGATTCTCCTATTTTGTACTTCTCACTGTGGCTGGAATGGCAGGCATGTGCCCCACCACCATCCCAGCTTTTTCTACTGAGATGGGGTCTCAATTTGTTTTTCTCCAGGCTGGCTTAGAACAGCAGTCCTCTCCATCTCGGCTGTCTGTGCAGCTTGTAATGACAGGTGCATGCCATTGTTCCTTGCTAACATTTTG